CGAGGAGATTGAGAAGGACGAGGTTTTGGCCGTGGTGTTTTGTGGCGCAGTGGCAGCAACATCCGTAGAAAGGAACGTGTGGGTGCAGAGACAATTTCAGTAAGCAAACGCATCGGTGTTGGGCTGTATCGGCTCGCGGCAGGTGCTCGTTACAGTGTTTTTATGACGTGTAGGTGGGATGAATGTGACCTGGCCGTTCAGACTGAAGTCACATGTCAAAAGATTGGATTTGTGTCGGTTTTAGGAGCACATATCCAAGTGGCCTGGGTCACATTTAAAAAAAAAAAAAAAGATTTAATTAATCATTAAAAGATCAGATACAGGAGCATAGGAGTGAAAAAAATCGAATTTGGGTCACTTCAGGCTGCAGTCTGAACATAGCCAAAGAAACTTATAATTTGATATATTGTGACTTTTGACGATACAATATCACAATATTTCGGTTACTGTTACATCCCCAATTACGAGTACTTGAACATTACAGTGTCTGAGTGAGTTTCCTCTGGGCACTCAGATTTCCCTCATCATAACACGCACCAGAGGTCAAATCCTCAAGGTAGTCCTGACCAAGACTAACTCAAGGATCATTTCTCCACAGGTATCAATAAAGCAAATTTCAATATCAATACCATAGAGATCATTTTAAAAGTGCTTTTATTTTGGACCATAGACGTTTGTACCAACATGCTACACAAACATAGCAGTTTATAATATTTACAATCTTATTCTAGTTCTGATATAGATCAAGACCATTCTAAAACTACTCAGGAAAGGTCCAGTTTTGTCTTTTCTATTTATTCTTTTCAGTATTAATTAGGGATGGTACAAGATCTCGTTCCACATGATCTCACGAGACAAAATTGCCACGGGCTCGTGCACACAACAGAAAAATTATCTTGTGAGATTTTTTTTTCCAAGTTTTCTATTTCATTTGGACAAAATAGGATTGTTTATTGGTGAGTTACGACTCTTACAGTTCCAAAGAGAAGTCCTTTTTATTGCAAGGCCAAAATTGGAAACTGAACCAAAAATGATGTTAAAATCTTGTCTTGTTTCGTATCGTGTATCTCTTCCTATCCCTACAATACTCGTTTTAGTACTGATTATTGATACTTTTGACAAGCCTAATCTTTATTCTTCCAATGCATTTCTGAATAAATACTAGTACTTATTTCAGGCAGTAATGACATTAACTAAAATTGAAGCTAGACAGCTCTCTGTTCATTATATAACGTGTGATCTGAAGCTCCAGGGCTGTTGAATTTGGATCACTTAGTATTTACTCTGAGGGTTCAGTGCACAGCTGTCGCTCCACACACATGCATACAGACAGTGTTTGATACAGGACTGCACCGCATCAGAACAACATGTAATATTTGATCACTAGGTTTTGTATTTCAATAACAAAAATGATACATGAAAGTGATTAGCAATAAGTAAAATTAAGCCTGCTTTAGAGACTTGAGTTGAATTCATATGCTATGAGTCAAAAGTTTGGACTCACCCTTTCATTCTGTTCATTTCATTGTGTTTTTTTTTTTTTTTACTCTATATTTACTACTTACTACATTTTGGCTACACACAGAAGAATATATGAAGTAAAAAGTATGAAATTATGTAGCTAAGAAAAGTGAAATAACTATACTAAAACTATTTCATATTCTATCAACAATTACTCCAATTTACTAGCCTGATTCATCAGCTGGTTTCACTTTGTAGAAACCTGACCTCACACTGTTAGAATTCGTTCGCGCGACAGTAGGCGGGGACTTTTTATCATTTAACCAACCACTGCAATTTGGTAGTCATGTATGTAATGCGCCGCTAAAGGGGATAACTGATAAATTAAGCTTTTCCCAAATCCCGTAGGAAAAAGGGCAATAACGAATTCACCAACCATTCTCTTTGTTCCGGCTTTAAATTCTCAATCTCGGGAATCATTGACAACACAGAATACATGACTCTTTGCTGATTGGCTGGTGCACAAACTTGGACTTCTGGGGTTCTTGCAAACCATTTAGTGTATTCTGATTCCTGACCTAGTCACTGGAGAGAAATGAAATCGAGCAGAGGCACTAGTTGGCGCCAGCCTGGCTACAAATTTGCCACCCTTTGCTTTTTCTTTCCTTTCTTTCTTCCCTTTGCTACACAATTCCATATATCTTGTTCATATATTTAATGCTTTTCATATGTATCTAAAGTGTAAAAAAGCAGTAAAAAAAAAAAAAGAAAAATAAATAAATAAAAAAGAAACATTGAAAGAGTTGGCATGTCCAAACTTTTGACTGGTCATGTATAAAAACCGTTTTGTCACACGATGCCAAACATTGTGCAATAATGAAACTGTTAAGGGCAAAGGGTCCAGTTTAGATTTAAAAAAAAAAATCCTGGAAAGTTTCTCAGTATAGCATTAAATTTATTTATCTCCATGGAGACACAAACAAGCTAAGTCACAGGTCAGATATGTGGAGAAGCGACGCTGCTCACAGTCATTCTTACGCAATAAAAACACCCATAATGGAATGAATACCAGATTGATAAGTTAAATGCCATACTGTGGGATATTCTAGAGCAAGTGGTAACATCTCCACAGTGGCACAAAAGTTACATAGGGCAGCTTTAATTCATTCTTTCTAGCTAGATGTGCAACTACACAATCTCGAAATATGGTAAACTGCGTCTTTTTAGGTTTGAAGTAATTGTAACTTTTTCAGTAAAGTGTCTGCCAACAGTTTTAGATGCTATTGTTTTCTTTCATGTAATGTCTCTCAGTATGGCGTTTCACTTATTTATCTACTTGAACATGAATAGAAAACCAAACTAGACCAAATTACAGGTCACATCTGTGGAGAGGCGACCTTGCTCACTGTAAAAATTCATGTTTTTCAAGGTATTTTTTTTTTAAAGAATAACAAAACCTGTAATTCAATAAATGCAATATAGACGTGCAAGTACAATAATACTACCAGGCAAAGCAAAAACATCTCCATGGTGACGAACAACATACTAGAAAAGTTACATAGGGCAGCTTTAATTCATGTCCAGCTAGATGTGCAAAAATACAGCCTCGATATATACTTAGCAGTTTAATAAAGGCATATTTGTGGAGTTATTTTAGCTATTTTGTCAAACCATGGACAACACTGTGCAATACTTAAACCCTCTTAAAGCTAAAGTATGTAACTTTTTCAGTAACGGGTCTGCCACCAGTTTAGATGTCTCTGTATGACATTACACTTATTTATCTCCTTGAAGACAGACAGAAGACCAAACTAGTAGGGATGTAATGATATTCAAATCTCTCGGTACGATATCATCAGGATATGCATCTCATGGTACAATATTTGCTATGATATTTTGGAGAGGCTGATATAATCAGAGATAGGACACTGTTTTGCTTTTGAATGTGTGGTTGATGTGAATTATTACTGTCATAATCCCAAGAATTCAAGTAAAAAACATTTTTCTTCATGTTTGCACTGAAATGAATTATATGTAGTTCGCTGTGTTATAAGCTGTTGCTACTATAAAACCATGTATTTCAGCAAAGAAACTTGTGATTCGATATATTGTGACAACCCACGATATTATTGTGAGACTTTTGACGATACGATGGCTCTAGGGATGTAACAATAACCGAAATATCGTGATGTCGTATCCTCAAAGTTCTCACAATAATATCGTGGACCATCACAATATATCGAATCACAGGTCTCTTTGCTTAAATTAAGAGTTATGGTGCAGCAATAGCTAAAAAAAGACAGAGGGAACTACATAGACCATGATCCTTTGCTCCATTTCAGTGCAGACTACAAGAAGAAAACAGTTTTAAGCACTTTTAAGTCTTAGTTCTGTGGGTTAAGTCTTGTCAAGGCATTTTAAGAGTAAAAAGTTGCATATTCACAGTTTTGTTAGCCTCCACAAAATGACGCAATAAATATCGTACCGTGAGATGTATATTGTGAAAATATCGTACCAAGAGATTTGGATATTGTTAGTAGGGCTGGGTATCATTAAGAAGTTGCCGATACGATACATATCTCGATACATAGGCCACGATACAATTCATAACTCACTACAGTGCACTTTCGGGTTAATACGATATATTTCAAATCGATTCAGTATGGTTCAATACAAAAATAGGCTAAATCATGGCTGTGATACTAAAAGTCTTTGTTAAACCACTTTTTGTGCAAAATTCATACAAAACACAAAAATTTTTATCATTAAAACAGTGAAAATGTCAAATTTGTCGCATAAATGAGTTTCCTTCCTCTGAACAAGCAACAAAACTGTAGCTGTAACAAAATTATTTAGTAAAAAATACCAAAAAATACCCTTGGCAATATATCAATACAGCAGTCCCAGATATTGCACACCCCTAATCATGAGCTTTCCCACGACATCGCAATAAATATCGTACCGTGAGGTTCATACCATGACAATATCGTATTGTGAGACTTACAAAACCCCTAGATATCCCGATATTTTGGTTATTGCTATAACCTTACAAATTAGGCCAAGTTACAGGTCACATCTGTGGAAAAGCGATCCACTCACAGTGAGAATGCATGTTTTACAAGGCATTTTTGAGCTATAAAACACCAAAGAATTAATAAATCAAAACTCAGTAGCTTTAATGCCATACTGTGGAATATTACAGGCAAAGCAAAAACATCTCCATGGTATCGAACAGTTACATGGGGCACCTTTAATTAAAGTTCAGCTAAATGCAACTTTTCAGTCTCGATAAACGGTTTGACATGCGTAAAAAACGTCTCCTTGGAGGCAAACAGGTGGCAGGCAGATCCACTACTAGAAAAGTTACGCAGCGCTCCTTTAAAAGCAAAGATAAACTCAAAATTACGCATGCAAGTAACGTCAAATATGCGTAGAATAATTTTGCTCGAGTCATTTTTTATCGTTTAAATCGCTATCTGGATGCACTGACAGATAAAAGTTCCATATTAATTCATCTACGGGTGCTGAGTGTTTCATACCTGGGCACCTGCGCGCTCTCCGGGGCAGAGCTCCCCAACACATCGCTGCTTTTCGATTTACTCTTCAAAACTGGAAACTTGAACTTTTTCTTGTCCGTGCTACTTTTCCTGTCCACGCTGGTGCTGCTGCCATTTGCGCCGCTCTCAGCCAAAGCGGCCACAGTCTCGTTCAGATTCACTTCGCTTTTGGAAAACAGGCTCTTGAACGTCTTTTTGGAGCTGAGTTTTTTCGCCATGGTCTAAGTACAAGACCCCCCCCAAAGCGCAGGTCCGATAGCCGTGTCGCAGCGGTCCTCTCTCGGCGTGCGTTTGGTCAGACGAGCCGGAGGTGCAGCGTGGAGGAGCGATGACAAATGATGAAGCAGGTGAGTGGGGGAAAAAAAGAAAAAAAAAAAAAAAACACAGACACGCCCCCTTCACGTGGTATCGAGTAAAAGTGCTCGCGTAATTAGGCCGATTTGTTAGGCCTTTGTATAAGATGTCATTTGGAGCTTTAATGTAATCTTATGTTTGTTTAGATTTTGTATGTAGACTGTAGGGTGTATTTTGTATATAGGCTATAGGTTGTGTAGTTTATAACCTAGAAAATATACCCTAAGTAATTACCAGTGGTGGAACGTAACAAAGTAAAAGTAGTAAAGTAGGCCACTGTACTCACATTTAAAAAAAAAAAAAAAAAGTAGGCAGGTATCTGTACGCTACTTTACTTGTGGAGACTTTTGACTTAATTTAAGAGTAGGTCTGTACTTTCTACTCCACTACATTTTTGAACAAGACTGTAAAGTGAAGCTATTAGTTATGTTACAGTTTGAGACCTGCTGAAAAGGCTGAGGCTGATTTTGAAGACGTTCATGGTTTGAGCAAATAAAAACATACAAAGAAAAACAGCTGGGGAAAAAAATAATAACTTGATTTAATTGTTTCCATTGAAAAATTTAGCACCAATCTGTATCAAAATCACTATATTTGATTTACTTTATTGTATACTCTGTGTAAAATAATTAATACTAAATAATAACTCTTAAAGTTGATACTTTTACTTAGGTTTTTTTTTGTTTAGTTTTTTTTTTTTTTTGCTCCATTAGGCCTATCTGTACTTTTACTCCAGTAACAACATTGAGAACTTCTTCCACCTAATTACTTTAATTACTTACGTTATTAAAGATAATGTCAATCAAGCACCTTGTTAAAATACAGTAGGAAACAGTGCAATACAAGAAATATGTGCAGTCAAAGTGTGCAATAGGAATTTGTGCAATATGAATATGTGCAGTACAGAAGTATGTGCAATCAAAGTGTACAATGTGAATATGTGCAGTATGAGTGTGTGCAGTACAGAAGTATGTGCAATCAAAGTGTGCAATAGGAATGCGTGTAGTACAGACGTATGTGCAATCAAAATGTGCAATGTGGATGTATGCAGTACAGAATTATGTGCAATCAAAGTTTGCAATATGAATGTGTGCAGTACAAACGTATGTGCAATCAAAGTGTACAATATGAATATGTGCAATATGAATATGTGCAGTACAGAAGTATGTGCAATCAAAGTGTACAATATGAATATGTGCAATATGAATATGTGCAGTACAGAAGTATGTGCAATCAAAGTGTGCAATATGAATGTGTGCAGTACAGAAGTATGTGCAATTAAAGTGTGCAATATGAATGTGTGCAGTACAGAAGTATGTGCAATTAAAGTGTGCAATATGAATGTGTGCAGTACAGAAGTATGTGCAATTAAAGTGTGCAATATGAATGTGTGCAGTACAGAAGTATGTGCAATCAAAGTGTGCAATATGAATGTGTGTAGTGCAGGGGCTCATGAAGTGTTTGTTTATTTATTTGTTTAGGACAGAGCATGTTAATGAACAAACATGACACAACATGAATGTAAACACATTGTTTATTGTAGCCTATGGCAAATTTCCATCGGTTGTCCCAAAGAGCTGGGGTCATAGTGGGCCAAACAATAAAATATTGTGCACTCCATTTAGTGCAGTGGAAAGTCTAAATGTGTGCACTAACATAATCCTGTAATCACTGTTTTGTCTTTGTTCTCCTGTACAGAGTCTGTGTAAATAGTGTGTGTAACTGACATAACTGACTCTTGTTGACCTTTAAGACATGTTATAATGTTGTTACCTCCTCAGAAAACAGACCTGGAGCTGTGTTTTGTTTCATTCACACATGTTTGAGTAATCCTTTATTGTTAGTCTGTCTGCATCTCCAAAGCTCAAAATGCTCTGTTCCACCTTGTGATGTAATGAAGTGGTAGTTTTAATTTAGAGTAAGAGCTAACGTTTACCTTTAGTTTGGTGGACTTGCAATTCCAGGGTTGAAATTATCCAAATGATTCTAGTGAAGGTATATGGAGTTTAAAAACACAGTGGAGCACTTCCTGTATTACCACATGATGTCACAAGGTGGAACATAGTGTTTTCAGTTTGAGAGAAGAGCTCAGCCTAAATATGCAGGGTTTGTGTCTCAAACATGTGTGAAACAAAACACAACTCCTGATATGTTACTGGTGAGGAAACAACATTATAACATCAGAAAATATAGTAATATGGGCCCTTTAAATAGAAAGCAGAATAACATAAATATAGACAAAGGAAAAAGATCACTTCTGTATGATGTGATCTATTGTGATCCCAAATCAACTCTATTTGAAGGGATAAACTTTGAAATCTGAAGTAGCCTAGTGTAGTGTTCATTTATAATAGTCTTGTCATGATACTAAAATTTCAAACTAAATTTTTATATTAAGGAATAGACTTGACTGATTGTGATACCACAATGATAATTACAAACACCATTTATATACTTTTTTCTGTTCCCATGTGGCCTTATATATGTGTAATCCCTCAATGATCCAGGTTCCATAGTCCTCTTATGCTTGTTCTGATGCAGCTTCAAAATCATTCTAAAGCTCTTCAGGAAAGATTCATTTCTGTCTTATGAATCAGACTTTTTAGTATCATTAACTGCTCAAATGAGTATCTATGTCAATACTAGTTTTAGTATCAATTAATATCTGATTTTCCTATACTTTTGACAACTCTAATCTAATCTAATTAGATCTTGCAAACTTCTCAATCGAAATATGAACAACTTACTAGAGACCTCTGCTGGACACTGTGCAAACTGCAGCCACAGTTTTTCCTCCATCAGCTTGTATTTACACACTTTTAACTACAGGTGGCGCCCGTGCTTCGCCCTTGCACTGTTACGCGTGAGTTCAGCATTATTAGTTTGTGGAATAAGCCTTCAGAATGCACGATTGTACCTAAATTTAACATTATTATTTAAGTAGTTTATTTTAAAACTAAGACTATTTTTGCTATGGGTCAACATAAACATCTCTTTGTCCTCTTGTCAGTACTTGGGATAAGTCAGAAGAGTCTGGTCATACATGTTGGGTTCTGAAATGTCACATAGCCATTTTTCAACAATAAAAACAATAAAAAATTTAAATCTACTTCTCACTATGAGGAAATGCCACCATGAAGATGATGTAATTTTGAACCTACAAATCGAGACTGATTTTTTTATGCAGACAGATCAGATCAGATACAGAAATCTGGTGACAGTCCCTGTTGATAATATCAATTGTCCCCCCATATGTATTAATTATTATTATTATGTACAGTATATATCTTTTTTTCTAAAATACTGTTAAGCCTACTTTTGTTTCTTGAACTTGATTTGTTTAGTTTTTGTTTTGTTTTTTCTTCTATATATTTTGTTATATTTTGTTTTGTTTTCTTAAAAATGAAAATGAAAATAAATGGCTAAAAAAAAAAAAGTCTGGTCACCACTCCCTCCGTCTCAAACCATTTTTTTCAGAGACATTCACACCAGTGCTGGAGGTTATTCTGTTGGACACGGGCAGTGCTCAACCTGTTCCTCTGCGCACAAAGGAGCAGATTTCAGTCCTGCTGATGGGTTGAGAACTTTCTACTGCCCTGTCCAGCTCTTCTAGAATAACTGCCTGTCTACTCTCTTCCTTCCTTGCTCTGGAGATTGTGCATAGAAACCCATTAAATCTCCTTGCAACATCATATTCAGATGTACCATCGTAGAGAAGTTGGACAGTCTGTAAGGTTAAGGAATGGCCTCATACTCTCAGTAGTGATCATTATTCTAACCAAAGCGCAGCACTAGTGGAAAACCGGCCAAAAAAAGACCAAGACGGAGAAACAAAAAATGATCTCCACATGTAAAACCAGGGGTTGTTTTAGGGGTTGTCTCATTGTTGCCACTCTACTGGACCTGTTGTTTACTCTTATTAAAAGAGGAGCATCCTTTTGTTCCTAAGACATTGCCCTGACCAGATTTGTATAGATATCTAACATCTTTTTTTTTCTTCACATTGAGATCAGATGTGTTTTCAAAGTATTCTTTTAATTTTTTTGAGCAATATATATAAAAATGTGTCCTTACTGTGAGCAGGCTTGCTTCTCCACAAACCTGACTCTCATTTGGCTTGGAGGAGGCTTGTTTCCGTGGAAATGTTTATTATTCCACAGTATAAAGGCACAGGCATAAACTGTCTATTTCCATGGAGAATGTTCCACAGCATGGTTTTAACTTTCTGTTTCTCTGTAATCATGCAGATGATGTGTCACCTCCACCTCCACTAGTTGCATATAGCCAGTGTTGGGGAGTAACAGATTACACATACTGGAGTTACGTAATCAGAGTACAAATTATGAGTAACTGTATTCAGTTACAGTTACTGTTTCAATGAGTGGTAATTGGATTACAGTGAATTGGTTGAAATAAATTGATTACATTACGGGATTTTCCTCTTTTCACATTTTGGGCTATATCTCTTTTTCTTTTTCTTTTTTTCTCGGTAATTCCACTTATTTCTGGAAACTAAACCAGGTCTAAAACCAGGACTAAAACCAGGTCTAAACCAGGTCTAAAACCAGGACTAAAACAGGATTAAAACAGGACTAAAAGCAGGTCTAAACTAGATCTAACCTAGATCTAAACCAGGTCTAAACCAGGACTAAACTAGGTCTAAATCCAGGATTAAAACCAGGTCTAAACCAGGTTTAAACCAGGTTTAAACCAGGTCTAAACCAGGACTAAAACCAGGTCTAAACCAGGTCTAAACCAGGTCTAAACCAGGTCTAAACCAGGACTAAAACCAGGTCTAAACCAGGTCTAAACCAGGACTAAAACCAGGTCTAAACCAGGTCTAAACCAGGACTAAAACAGGACTAAAACAGGACTAAAACAGGACTAAACCATGCTGGGCGGACGTGTCTCCTCCTTTTCTATCAATAATATTTTTAATACGTTTAAGGAAAGACTGGGCTTTTTATTTTCTTTTAGCAGACAAATCATCTTATGTTACGATATCCTCGTCTTTGCTTCTCTACAGAAAATCAAGTAATCCAAAGTATTCAGATTACATTACTCACTTTAAGTAATTTAATGGATTACGTTACAAACTACATTTTGGGATATATAATCTGTAATCTATAGGGGAATGCATTTTAAAAGTAAACTTCCCAACACTGCATATGGCACACTATGTAATATATTTGGTCTGCCATCTGTTTCTATGGAAATATGAATCCTTTGGCTGTAATCTTCCACAACATGGTATTAAACATATCTGTGTGTATATCTCCACTGTGACCAGGTCAGATTAATGGGTCACATCTTTTAAAAGCCAAAACTGAATGTATTGACAAGTTATTTCTGAGCAATAAACTGAATTTGAAGGTATAGTATGTAACTTTATGCATGATTCTATGAAAATACAAAGTTAAAACCAGACCTCAGAACACTCTCCCTGGAGATACATTTTATACCATACTGGGGAGGATTGGAGCCAAAGGAAAGACATTTGGAAACAATGAGCGGGAAGTCTTCCTCTAGACCGAGAATGGGTCAGGTTTGTGGAAATGCAAGCCAAGGGTAACCAGTCGTCCTTATTTACCTTGGACCATCCCAGTCTTGAGTCCTGTGTCCCTGTTCCAGCAGATTTATACGAAAACCAGGGATTTGTCTCAGTTTTAAACAAGAAATGTTCCTATTTTTGACCTGTCTGATCCCTGTCAACATAAGAGTAAAATACAGAAAACTGCTTTAAAATAACCATAAGGTAAAAAAAAAATGCATCAACAGAATACCTCAGATTATGATTACATTTCTTCTGCTGATCAGCTGCATGACTGTGGCAAAAAGAATCAGAGTAGGCTAACTTTGATTCTGGTTCAAATCTATTTTATTTATATAATTCTCTCAATATTCCACTGCAATGAAATAATGAATTCAGTGTTAGTTATTATAGGACAGGCAGTGCAGGCGTATAGAGCACCAATCAGCCACAAGGGGGCCTCAAAGGAATGTTTATTACTTGGTATTGTATAACATTGGAAAGTAATTTTGAATATAATATATCAATAATGTTGGTGATTCATTGGACAGTAAGTGTGAATCTGTTTTATCTATTTTATCTGAACTAAGAATAAAAAGTTGTGTCTTGAATATAAACTCTGTGCTTGATTTTCCAGTAAAATATAAAAATATGTTTTCCAAAATAACAAAAACATGGCTTTAGCAAGTCCAAAAATGTTACTGATGGTTTTCAGATTGTAGAATGTGAGGATGTCATACTCCCACATGGGGGTAAGCGACCCTTTTTTCCTATTCATACTTTGCAGTGGGGGTGTTTACATGTATTTGTATGGTGGAATGTTGACACAAATCATTGTCTGAAAATGTACAAAAAATATATTATTTATATATATATTGTGAGAGGAACTTGTTTAAAAGCACAAATCAGCTCTCCTCTTGTAGTTCCAGCCAAGTCAGTTCTTTATGTTCAGATTGTGTTCAAATAAAGATCACATTAAAGTCCAACAAAGCCTCAAACAGAGTAGTGCTGTCAGTTGGCTTCATGCCTGGTGAAGTTGATGTTGATTACATCGGCTACAAAGCTTCTATAAAGTGCTGTGAAGTAATCTGAAACTTAGCTAAAAATGCCACTGTCCAACAGATCAGTGTGGATGCAAAACTATTTTCTCCAGCTAAACTCAGACAAGTCAGAGTGTTTGGCCCACAGAAACAAAGACAGTGTCAACAGTCACCTCCAGTCTCTCTCTAAAACCTTCAAATCAGGCAAGAAATCTCTGGGTAATAATGGACTCAGACTCAATAACATCTGCAGCGTTTTATCTAAAAAACATAGCAAAAATCAAAGGTTTACTGTCTAAATCAGACTACGAGAGACTTATCCATAGTTTGTCTCCAGTAGGTTAGTTAGATACTGTAACAGCCTCCTCACTGTGAGACCTGTAGTACATCCAGAACACTGCAGCTCAGGTCCTGACTCGAACCAGGAAGTACGAGCACATGCGACCTGTGCTCAGGTCTCTGCGCTGCCCGCTGTGGCTCAGAAAACAGACTTTAAAGTGGTTCTCCTTGTGTACAAGTCTGTGACATGTTAGTGCCATATGAAGGGACCAGTCTCCTGCTCGTGCCCAGAGTCAGGACTGAACACGGAGAGTCAGCATTTTAGTTTTATGCAGTTAAAACCTTGAACCAGGGGTGTCAAACATATGGCCCGGGGGCCGAATCCGGCCCTCCAAGACCTTTAATCTGGCCCTCGGCGGATTTCCTACTAAAATATTTTAATTATATTTTCTATTAAAATATTGGTAATTTTCTGCATCGCTTAGCATAGCAGCGTCTCCAGTGCCTCTGTGCATGGCCCCTCCCACCAGAGCAGCACAAATGAAGACTTGCCTCTTTTCAAAGGCTCTTAAAGGACGATCGTTTTGACTGTTGACTGTGAGACCCTCATCAGTAAAATGTAAAAAATGAGAAAAGTGGACGCCGAGTGCAGGATTTTCCAAGAAATTTGACTTATTCCTTTTTGCATAGAAGTTAATGTTAAAACATTGTGTTGAAATCGCATTTTTCATCAAGAGTCAATTTTCATCAAGAGTTCATCAATTAAAAAACATTTCTGTAATAGATTTGCGTTTCTCTGCACAAATATTTGAACTTATTGCTATTTTGGGGGTTTATATGCCATGAGTTTTCTGATCCGGCCCCTTTGGGATCAAAGTTGGTTGGATACGGCCCCCGGACCAAAATGAGTTTGACACCCCTGCCTTGAACAGTCTTTCTGAACATGTGGGACAGGCTTCCGCTCTGACTCTGTTTAAATCCAGGTTCAAAACAGTCCTGTTTAGCTGCATATGACTGAAAGGTTTTTATTCCACACTCTTCTGTTTTATTTAATCTCTCTCTTTAATTTCATGAAGATTATTTATGTTCTGATCTGTTTGTATTGTGATTTTAATGTATTTCATATTCTGTAAAGCACTTTGAATTACTTGTGTGCGAACTGTGCTAAACAAATAAACTTGGCTTGTCTTGCCTAAAAATCAGACCAGGGAAGTCACCAACATTATAGAAACCATATCTTTATTAATATGCTACATCAAATATAAAAGTATAGTCTCTCACATATAAACAATCTCAAAAAATAAACTACAATGACAAAAAATGACAAACAACATTGAAAAAACTACAAAATTGTAAATCAAAAGTCTTCAAAATGGCTCCCTTTGTTTCCTGAGAGCTAGTTACTATTAGCATGTCTTTGAAATTATGCTAACAAAACGCTAGACGTAATGCAGACGCAATTTCGTTTGGTTAGGCTAAAGTTGAATAAATACAAAGTAAAAAATGAAAAGAGGACATTGAAGTTGTCAGTGCATAGCTCAGCATCTATTGGCTTTAAGTCGGGTTTGAATAAAAATAAGTTAAAAGTTTGAGTAAAATTTGTGTCGTGTTTTCTCATTTCCAGACTTTCAAGTAGATTGCTAAAAATGTTGGTTCTTTTTCCTATGTAATACTAAGAGACATGACCGAGATTCGTACATTCATTCTCTATATGACCATCATAAATACACGTGTTATGCATGTACTCCACACTCAGTTTAATTTGGCAAATGCTGCAGTGAAATTCTGTTTTGTTCATTTTATTAATAAATAAATAAAATAGTATCAATGTCAGAAAAGTTGTGCCATTACAGTGCATTTTAAATATTATTTTTCAAACACCATAAAGACAAAATACAAACAGAACGCTACCAAATTGTCCTGAGTTCAACAACGTAATATTCACAATAAACAAACTATGAAACTAAATAATGCAAATGTTGAATTAATAATAATAGTATAAAAATAATAAGTTAAAGCACAAAAAGCAAACACTACCTGAGTTAAATTATTCACAGTTTTAGTTTTGCTGTTCAATTTTGGTTAGAAATAATAATAATAAAAAATATATTGGCCAAGACCATCAACTGTTACATCGATTACGGTTAGAGAATGATTGACAGATGCCTTAGCCAATCACAATTTGTCCTTCAAAACCAGTAGCCAATCAGATGCCTAGTTGCAATATTTGTTTAGTCTAGCTACGTCAGTTAATGTATATTTCTATATGAATAATGCTAAGTCTATGGCCTATACTTTGGAGTGCTCTTGTTTTGGTTAACTTGATTTGTGTTCCTTCATCGGAAACCACTTCATTTTTGGCGACAGTTTGTTAGCAACACATGCTAGCTACGAGTCCGTTAGCAATGCTACATTTCTTATTGCGCTTCAGTCTTTACAGTTTTATGCAGGTGGACCACGCTAGCCCGCTCCTGATAGCCCACTGATGGCGTATGGTGCGATGACATGACGCCGGGCTGCCCCATCGGCGAATTCAACACCGACGCTAACGTTTTGAGCAGCATCGTGGCCTCTTTCTGGTCTTCCTTTCCTTCTCCTTCTAGCGTACGGGCCAACCATCTTTCCACGGCCTCCTCCACTTGTGGCGCGGTTGCAGTTTCGGTGAGCGTATCGGCTTCTTGGCTGGCGTCGAAGCGTTCCACCATCTCTTTCATGCTGCCGTTAACCGGGGAGTTCGAGCTGGCCGGGCAGCAGCTGCGTTGGTGGATTTTCAGGGAGAAGCGGTGGAAAAATGCAGCGGCGCAGATCTGGCAGCGGTATGGGCGATCTCTGCCGCTGTGGAGTCTTCGGTGCAGTTTCAGATGAATATACTGGGTGAATTTGGTGTTGCACAGTTTGCACTGGTACGGTTTTTCGCCAGAATGCAAGCGCAGGTGGGTTTTCAAGTTGCTGGTGCTGCTGAAACGCTTGTGACAAACCTAAAACAGACAAAACAAAGCGAGAGTTAGCAACTTTCACAATGATTTGGCTATTGACACTTAGCTAGTCCATTTTACACACAATTCTGAATGCAAAAATGTACTAGGAATAGCTCAAATTACTCGATGCTGCACTATGTATCTTTTTGGTTAGAGGTCTGTCACCTTCTTGTTTCTATGGATATGTCATTGATGTCATTGCTCTGTCTGGAATGTTCCACAGTATGGCATTAAACAGCTCTACCTTGCATTTATTTAATTGCAGGTGGTTTTACAGCTCAAAAATACCTAGAAAAACAGGCATTCTGACTGTGAGCGGGGTTGCCTCTCCACAGATTTGACCTGTAACTTGTAAAAAAGCAATAACATCTCCATGGAAACAAGATCTAAATCAGGTCTAAACCAGGTCAGATCTAAATAAGACCAAAACCGGGTCTTAAATAGGACTACACCCTGACTTAAGTTGCTGGAACAAAGATGTAAAATGTTGCTATACAAAACTACAAATGACCCCAAGAAAAAAAACTGAAGAAGGCAGTGAACCACAGTTTGAGAAACACTACATACTTCACCAACATGGCATCAAAATAGATGCACTCAATAGTTTCATGCATCAAATCAAATCAAAACAAATAGCAGTGAGTTGTTTCGTGACTTGCAAATGAAGACGTCATCTAGTAACAACGCAAGTATTAGTTTAACCTTAAGCAGCTATTGATAGAAATGGGCGGTGCCTGTTCCAACACCTATATGTGTCACACACTCCAACAAAACAAATAGGTCCTATAGTATTGTTATGGAACTTGAAAAACATTAAAGGTGGATCACTACAGTCAGTAAGTCTGATTCAACTTAGACTAAGAATAAAGTTATTTTGGGTGTTCCTTCTAGGCTTCTTTTCTGCTCTTTCTGTTCCTTCTCTGTATCATATATTTACACTACAACGCCTACTACTCCTACTACTCCTACTACAAGCAAGTAGTAACGAGAAAGTACATACCTGGCATTCGTGTGGTTTTTCCCCCGTATGGACCAGATGATGTTTTTGGAGGTGGGCGAGTTGAGTGAAGCTCTTTTTACACAGGTTGCATTGAAAAGGCCGTTCTCCACTGTGCACTCTGAGATGGACCTGAAAACACAAAATATGAAATAAGTTGTTTAATTTGGCTGGTTTTCAGATGACATCAAAATATTAAACAGGGTAATTTAAATGAAAAATAAGTGAAATTAAGTTAAAATATAGTGGGATAATGCCTTGTTACTGATATAAATGATCAGCTTAAAATTTAGTTTTTTCAAGGACTAAACCCAGATTAAATCGTGTCTAAACCAGATCTAACTCAGGTCTGAACCAGGTCTAAACCAGGTCTGACAAGGACCAAGAGCTGCGGTTTTTGGGATGACATCACAATTTGTTGAACTTGCTAAAAACATTTCCTACTAGTACAAAATTAAATTTTGAGGATCAAATGTTCACCTGCTGGCGAAACTTCAACCCATTATCAAGAGATTGAACCTTTTCGTGTTTTGCTTAATAAAAATATTTCACAAACTTTTATTTACCTTAAGATTTGACAGCTGCCCGAAAGTCTTCATGCAGACGTTACATTCATATTTGATTTTGCCGTTTTGCTTTTTAAGAGGGTACGGCAGCGACTTGTGCCCAGGTCCGTTCCTCGGCCCTGGGTTGGACTTGGCCGACGCTAGGCTCAAATTCATCGCTTCTTCTGAATTCATGGAAGTCTGCTCTGGGGAGTGGATACGCTGCGAGTTTGATTTCGGAATTGGCGACAACTCCGGAGTGGCTGGTGCGCCTCTAGGGGGAGACACGTTCGCAGTCAGCTCTTTCAACCCTCCCTGCGGCGACGACGAATAAGGTAAGTTGACCAAATTCGGCGTGGCGATCGGAGGGTACGGTAGCCCATCTGTGCCTAAATAGTTGCCGTATCGTAAGGGGGTTCTTGAAGGTAACATGCCGGGGAAAGGAGGAGAGTATGAGGGAAGAAGTAGCCGTTGATAGTGGGTCCCGTATGAAGGGAGGAGATGGTACGCGGGCTGTAGAGGTCTTGATTGAGGATACATCGGATACGAATTGACCAGTCCTTCTCTGTGTCCGTACAGTCCGTGCAGATGCAACGGGAAGTTTCTAGGTGGGATGGGAGCGCGATCTGTTAGGTACTGTTGATTCAAAGTGTGACTGGGCTCTTGCTGCTCACGCTGGGGGGATGGGATCACCACTCTTTCCTCATCCCTCTCTTCTCTCTCCTCCTTTTTGCTGAAGTCCATCACTTGGTCGTCGGGTGTGTCCGGGGGAGTGTCCCTTTCCAAGATTTCGACGTCAATTTTCTCCTCTTCACACTCTTCCTTTAGCTGGTCTTTGGTCTGTTCTCGCGGCCACGCTCTCTGAGGTAGGTACTGTTTGGTATTCTCTGGTTCGATATCTTCATCAGTGCATTCTGCAAAACAAAAAAAACATTACAATTAAGTAAGTTAACATTGTAAAAAGCTAAAACTGCTCCTTAACTTGCAGAACTTTTTGACGAATATTGCTTTCTTAACCCTCATCATTTTGGAGGCCTTTTACCAGATTTTTTTTCATGTATTTGAGCAAAATGAGTCTATATAAGTTGTAAATTTACCTAAAACTTGGAACTTACTCTTGTTTTAGTTAGTTAATTAATTTCTATAAGCTCCCTAAATTGCTTATTCTGCTTATTCTTAATCTATCTACTATCAGAAGCATGAGTAGACGTTTTTAGTTTCACGTTGTCATTCAAAAACCGCCCCCTCTGTCTCCCACTCCCACGGACCGCACTCCCTCTGATGGTAAATGACGGTACTGCTTTCGATTTGGTCTTCTTGCATCACATTTTTACAATTACCGTAACAGTTAAACTATATGGTATTATTGTACTGAAGTGCGTGGGAGTTTGGTCTGATACCAGTGGTAGTTATACGTTTTTCTAGGGACTGTCATCACTCTATTTTCACTTCTGTTTTCGTGGTTATCTTTGTGAAGCTCAGTTCTAAGTACTTCTAGGTCTCTTTTTCTCATTGTCTGTGCTTGCGTCAATGGATTTAACAGCATACCATGATGGACAGCGGCATAACGAAATATTTGTGCTGATGGCGTCGTCTGCCGTTGACTTATCTATTTCCACGGAGACAGATAAGTTTAATGCCACACTGGGGAATCTGAGGACATTTTTAACTGAAAAATTACATTGCACTGTTTTAAATGTCAAGTATATTCTGATTCTCCAAACTGCAATTTAAATTTAGACATAGCTGTTTTCAAGGTAAACCCAGAAAAAATTCCAATTAAAATTAACATCATATATTTATTTATTCATTTGTGATTTTCAGTCTGATTGTTCTGCAAGGTGTCTATAGATAAAATTGGATTATTATTCCTATAAAAAGTATTTGTTGTCATGTTTCCTGATTCTCTGAACTCAACAAAGGCATCTCTCCACAGTCTGAAACATGTCCGGACTTGCTTTATAATGAGCATCTATAGCCTGCAGAGTAATGCTTTCTTTAAACCTCGAGGATCCTGTTATTGGTGATTCATGACCTTTCAATGTGTCACGTGGGAATGACAACGCAGTAATTGTACTTCAAATACTTAGTCATGCACGCACTTTGACCGGTAAGTTTCCCCCCATTTACTCCACCCCCTCAGTTCAGTATAAACAGTATCGATGAGTGAGACTGAGCTGTCAAGGTAAAAACTGAGTAGTAGTAGTGGTAGTAGTCGTAGCAGTAGCAGCAGTAGTAGTAGTAGTAGTAATAGTAGAAGTAGGAATAGCAGCGAAAACATGACCAAAAATATTATTATACTGAGTTCAAATAAAGTAACTGTAACAGATTTTGTGATTGTGAAAGTTTCTACACCAGCTCTCCTTCCTCTCACATCCACAGACCACAGGAGTTTGGGTGTGAAGTGTCTTGCTCAACGACACACTGTAAAAACATTACTATGAGGTTAGAAACACCTACCCTTCAGGCAAAGTCTTAACCTGCTGCACCACTGCTGTTCCAATTACATTACAGTTTGGAAAAGGTACTAACGTTTACAGAATTACAGGAAAATATTAAAAATTGTATTCATTTTACTGATAAAAACATTCTTAAAAATAAAAAGTAAATAAAATATTGACTGTCATTTTGTTTATTCTACACTGTAACGGTTTATCATATTTGCTGATTGTTTCTGATAACATAACATCATGTGAAAGAATACTGCGTTCTTAATTATCAAGATAACCACTATCAAACCATGACACACTGTTCTGTCCATTACAGTCAGTCACAAATATCCCATCTTTATTATCCCATTTTTATTATCAGAATCTTTAGTCATGGGTTTAAGGTGGTGCTGGACAGCTGTTTGAAGGCTGAGTAACAGACAGATAAGGCAGACGGAAATGCAAGTAAAAGTACTGCGCGGTAATTAGGGAGTGAGTCAGGCTATAAATAGGTGTTCCGTCAAACTTGTTCTGAGCTGCTCGTAAAGGATTCATTTATTTGAATCTTGTACATTTTTTGTAGTTTGGTCAAATTGTGTAAAATTCAGACAAAAATTTTCATGGAATCGTTATTATTATAATTCTAATTTGCGTTATACTGATCAAAAGGCAAAATATTAAGAATTTCTGAACATCTAATTATAATATTAAAAGCAAATTAACATAAATAACTGAATTAGTTCAAAGACATAATTTATATAGGCCTAGTTCTCTCAATTCCTTTTTTAATTTTACGTTAAGCACAAGAATTGCAAAGAAGACGGGAGCAGGTAGCTGAATCTAAACTGAAAGCTGGTGGTTTGATCCCTGCTCATACCTATTCCATAATGCTATTGTGTCATTGGGCAAGACACTTCACCCACTTAACTGCCAGCATCTCAAACAGAAGTGAAAGAACACTATTCTTGGGTTTCAGGTTCCTCTTACATGGATCAATTTGAAGACTTTTTGCCATTCAAAAGATAAACAAGTTTCCAGTTTTCTAACATATTTTCAAACAACTTCTAAGAATTTTCTAACAAATAAAATCTTTAGACTGATTAGTAGAGGAAAACCTGACCTCTTTTTATTTATACTGAATGGAAATAGATACAGGGGCTCAATACTTTGCCACTTTTCTTAACAATAACTTGAGTTTGGGTTTCAGAACAATGAGAAATTAGGATGGTTGCCATAGCGATTGACAATTACCAAATATAATCTTCTGAATGGGAAATCGACCAAAAAAATGCATGGAAATAGGCAAATTAGCATGACTAAACCAGGGACTAAACCAGGGACTAGACCAGGGACTAAACCAGGGACTAAACCAGGGACTAGAACAGGGACTAAACAAGGACTAAATAAACATCCCCTCCCTATACAATGCATTCGAACTCACTGTTTTTGGTGTCTTGCTGTCCTCCACCGCACAGCCGCTGGGCGAACTCGGGGCTGTACCACACGAGCAGTTCCTGGCTGGGCTCTACGGGGCGCAGTGTGTAGAAGAAGACGTCGCGCCCGTTCTGACAGGCGACCAGGTTCTGCTCCGAGGCGGACCGGGCCGGATTCACGTAACGCATCCAGTTGCTCCTCTGCACATCGTAACCGTCGATGAAGTGCTGTAGCTGCCCTCCACTGTAGATCTGTGGAGACATACATGAAGAAAAAAAATATTAATAAAATAATAAAATATATAATAAAAAACACAATGGAATACAACAAAAAATACAATAAAATTAAGTAAAATAACAATAATAAAAATAATCAATACTCTCATATTCATAAATACTAAATTATTTAAAAATATTTATAAGGAGATTACATGTTTTGCGAAAATCAAGTTTATAAAAGCTTACAATACATTTATTTATTTATGCAAAATAATACAAAAACGTGTATTTACAGTTGATTAAAAAGAAAAAGTATTGGATTGTAATGTATGCAGTTACATTTTTGCGACAAATCTCAAATTGAATACTTTAAACTAAAAATTCAAACAAAAAATGAAATTCATTTTAAAACATTATATTATTATTATTATTATATATCATTAAAAAACATCTTAACTTTGACTATTTTGAAAGAAAAACTTAACAAAATAACATTTATGGGCATGCAATGTTACGAGAAATACCAAAACATTAAATACTTGAGTACTGAATAATAATAATATTGAATGCTAAGTTTGAAAAATATGCTATGAAATCACATTAAGAAAAATCAAATAGCATGAAATTAATGTTTTTGTATATACACAGATACCAGTTTGTCTTGAAATTGAAATACAGAATCTTGCTTGAAAAAATAAAAGCCATTCAAATCCATAGTAAGTCCATGTAGTCACCTCTGCCATGTACAATCCTCTTGTTTACTCCTTCTCTCTGTTTGTCTTTCGCTCTTCTGTTCTGTTGGCTCTTGTCACTGCAGCGTGTTCTGAGGTGAAACTTGTGTTGTCATTTGTACTTGTACTTGCCTGAAGGGGGCGGGGCTATTATTTTACAGCAGTCATGCTTCCTCCCCCCTCTTCTCCTTACAGCATTATTGTAAAATATCCTGTACATTTTTGTAGTGATTTGTAACTATTGTGAAAGAATACATTAATTTAGTTTGAATATTGATATATACTATATGTTACATTGGCTTTTTTAAAAAGGTTTTAACTATGATGTAATATTGTTCTCATCAAAAACCTACCTGTATTGCTTAATCATTCTGCAATTTCGGTTAGACAATTCTATATTCTTTTTATTATAATTAAATAAATATTGCTCCTTACAACAATATACATAAACAAACTTGCCTGGGGCTTGCCTCCATGGTGATATGATTGCTTTGCCTGTAATAATCCACAGTATGACATTAAACTTATCTATCTTGCTTTTATCTGATTAAATACATTGTAAAACATGAATTCTTTACTGTAAGCTGAGTCGCCTCTCTACATAGCTAACTTGTAACTTGGCCTGGTGGGATTATTCATGGATATAGATACATTTACTGTGGAAAACATCAATTACATCTCTATGGCAACAGCAAGGTGACCAGAAAAGTTACGCAATGCACTTTTAAACCACAAAAATGCTTTCATCTCTTGCCATTTAAGATTATAATTACTCCAATTTATGTTTTACTCTTACTGTCATAATTGGCTGCAAATGCGTCAATCAAAAAAAAAACCAAATTAAAATATTTAAATGAATAAAAAAATAAATAAATACATAAATAAAAAGCCCTAAACTATTCAATAATGATTTGCTTAGCCCTATGTTTGATTTTACACATGCGCAGTTTTCCCATGACCGGGGATAGCCTTGTATCTCCTGTGTATCCCCTGTAACATGAGTCAGTTTCTGTTCTGCCCTGCCAAGTCTATAGCATTTCTGTGGGCTCTGAGTTAATTCCCAAAGTGGAATTTTTGTCTTCCTTCCGGTTCGCATTCATTTCCTGTAAGCTGTGGTTTAAGTTCGTCGTAATAAAGAGAGAGAAAGTCAGACATTATACAGCTGTGTGGCAATGACGTTGTTTTGGGCCACGTCCAATTTCAAAGGTGCGTGAGTTTGGGCACGTTCCAAACTGAGTCGTCATCACATATCTTCACATGGCAGTTTAACTTTCATAAACAAACAACTGCTTTCACCAATCCTGCTTTGATACTGGTTTAGTCCTGTTCTAGTTCTGGTTTAGTCCTGGTTTAGTATGATTTAATCTTGATGTAGACTTGCTCCTGTTTTAGTCCTAGTTTTCTGGTTTAGCCCTAGTTTAGTCCTGTTCTAGTTCTGGTTTAGTCCTCTGATTGTGATGGTTTACTCCTAATGTAGACTTGCTTCTGTTTTAGTCCTAGTTTAGTCCTGGTCTAGTTCTGGTTTGGCCCTGGTTTTGTTGTGATTGTACTGGTTTACTCTAGATGTAGACTTACTCCTGGTTTAGTTCGGTTTAGTCCTGATCTAGACTTAGTTTGTCTTGGTTTAGTCCTAGTTTAGTCCCGGTTTAGTCCTGATCTAGACTTTGTTTAGTCCTGGTTTAGTCTTAGTTTAGACTTGGTTTAGTCTTGGTTTAGTCCAGATTTAAAGTTGGTTTAATCCTTGTTTAGACCTTATTTAGACCTGGTTTCATCCTGGTTTAGCCTTGCCCCATTTCAAGTTCTGCTTTAGCCCTGTTTTAGACCTAGTCCGGGAATATTAGTGTTCTTAATGAGTCACCAACAGTTATTTTTACACGGCAATTAAATTTTCCCAAATAGCAATAAAAACATACTATATAGGCTGTGTTCACACCTGTCCTGGCTTGCTCCAGGTTTAGTTCTTGATTTTAAAGGGGAAATATCTAAAAAGCACAAGATTTAAAGTGGAATTTTAGTTTGTGAAGTGAAAAAAAAAAAAGTCACTTCTTATTACGGTGGGAACTATACTGGCCCTGTGCACAAGTCTTGCCCCTGTACAGATATATTATATACACAACTGTTGAGGTTCACTGTGAACTCCCTGCATCCAAGTCAAGCGTTTTATTGTTAGGTTATCAGTTAGTGCGTGATAAGCATGCTAGTTGTTGTTAGCTATAGGCAAGTGAGGAATAACTTTTTTAAGACTGCAAAATATAATAAATAATATAAAACAATATTTTGAAATAAGTCATAAATATCTATATAAAGATCTCTTGGCTTAGAATTCTCAACAGATGATTAACTCAAACTAATTTTTCCTATTCCTTCCTTCCTATTATTTTATGTCCTATAATGAGACTGTATTTCCCATCGATCCTGATGACAACTAGTTCAGAGAATGACCTTTGCATCATCTGACCTCAAATCCAGGAACATAAACTTCACATTTTCTCGTGTTAGTCAATTGAAACTAAAGATTTGCTTAGTGAGTTCACATACAAGTCACGAGATGATTTAGACTTTTATACAGGATGCCCTTTTCTCACTGTCACACATTACAGTCACAAGGTATGGGAGTTAAGTCTCGAGTGATGAGTGAACCGCAAACCCTCTACACAAGGCCATACTTACTGATTATACCACTCATTTTGTATATTTAAATTTTTTGCTAATTTTTAGGTCATACAGTTGTTTTAAAGGTGCGCTGTGTAACTTTTGTAGCTCCACCACCTGCTTGTCTCCATGGAGATGCACCGCTTTGCCTGGATTGAACAACAGTATGGCATTAAACCTCTCTGTTTCAAGGTGAAAAGCAGCTGGCAGGTCAGATCTGTGGAGAGGCAAATCTGCAAATCTCCATGTTTATTACAAAAAAAACACATACAGATGATTGAATACAGAAGATTAAAGGTGCTTGCACCTGTATCTGTGTTAAAAACATGAAAATCTGAATAATTTTATAGTTTGCAGTGGTCCAAAGTTATTCCTCATTGATATTACGTATTCTGAGCATTCACCACGATGAGTTTATAAATGCTTTTCACAAATTTCAGAAGCACTTATTAGCATCTGAACTGAGACATATAACTAATTATTAATCACGTAGAGGCCCTTTGATGCCATATTTTGACTCTGTGGGAGAATGTTAACACCTATTTGAATGGGAAACATTGATATAATTAACATGACATAGACAGGAGTCACCTTGTGCGCACATACCAGACCTGAAACCCCATGTAAAACTATTGTGTGAATCTCCGCTGGGATTAATATTGAGTTTTAGAGTCATGCAGGTTATCCTTGAGTCGAGATGAATGAGATAGAAACAATGGACTCTTCCTGCATGAGCGTGTGACGGCGCTAAAGAAAAAAACATCACGGTTCTGTGGTTTGTTTGCTCCAAGTGGTAGTAGAAGAAATAGTAGCAGTAGTAATAGTAATATTAATAGTAGTAACAGTAGTAATAATTGTTGTAGCAATATCAGTTGTATGCATTGTCTAAACAATATGAGTAGTAAGTACACTGTAGAAGTAAAAGTAGTAATAGTGGTAGTGGTAGTAACAGTAGTAGTAGTAGTAGTAGTAGTAGTAGTAGTCGTAATAGTGGTAGTAGTAGTAGTAGTAGTAGTAGTAGTAATAATGGTAGTGGTAATATCACTTGTGTGCATTGCCTAAACAATATAGAAGTAAAAGTAGTAATAGTACTAGTGGTAGCAACAGTAGTAATAGTAGTAGGAGTAGGAGTAGTAGGAGTAGTAGTAGTAGTAGGAGTAGTAGTAATTGTAATGGGAATACATTGCCTAAACAATATGAGTTGCAAATACACTATGGAAGTAAAAGTAGTAATAGTAGTAGAGATAGCAACAGTAGTAGTAGTAGTAGTAGTAGTAGTAGTAGTAGTAGTAGTAGTAGTAATTGTAGTGGTAATATCAATATCAGTTGTATGCATATTGTTGCCTAAACAATATGAGTAGCAAGTACACTGTAGAAGTAAAAGTAGTAATAGTAACAGTAGTAGTAGTAGCAGCAGCAGTAGTAGTAGTTAGTAGCAGTAGTAACCAAAACTTATATAACTTGCTTGTATTCAATTACAAGCAGATCTGACATGTAACTTGGCCTAGTGGCGTCACCTGCATATCTCTATGGATATAGGTAGGTTTAATGCTATACTGTGGAACATTTGAGGCAAGCCAATGGCATTTATATAGAGACCACATGGCAGATCTTTCATCAGAAAAATGACACAGTAGTTGAAGTAGTATGATCATTGGTTTTAGTAGTAGTGGTAGCAGTAGGATTAATAATAGTTAGTAGTAGTTGTGTCACATATCCTTGAATGCAGATTACTGACATATTAAACAATAGTCATTTCCTTTTTGCGTACGAGTTGGCATCCGTCTGTTGAAGTTATGACAATCGTGTGAGAGTGAATCTGAACTTCCCCAAAATAAAAAAATAAAAAAAACTTGAGCAAAAAGCCCTTGTCGCCGTGAGAACCAGTCGTTTCCTCGTTGACGCACTACAGACGTGGTTGTAGTTTTTCAATAAAGGAAGTCAGGCACGAATGTCACTTCCCATGAGCAAATATAGTTATAAGGTCAGCAAATAGTACTTTTCCATTTAAATAAAATCAGAGGGGAAAAATACTAGCTGTTATTGTTATGAAACTTCTGCAATGCTTACTGGCATCAATGGGAAATCAAATGGTTTGCAAAATGTGTGCAGCTATAGGAAATTCCAATTAGGTGGTCAGATTGTGTTTCATGACAATTAAAATTCTGCTTAGTTAATCATATGCTTGTCACCATGCCAGGAATATACCACAGTATAGCAGCAAACTTATCTATCTGCATAAAACAAGCAGATTACGCTATCAGGCCAGGTTACAAGTCAGATCTGTGGAGAAGTGACTGCACTCACAATAAGAATGTATGTTTCTCAGGGTATCTTTTAGCAATAAAAACAGTCATAGTGGAGTAAAACCTATAGATATGATTAATGCTACGCTGTGGAACATTTCAGGCACAGCAATAACATCTCCATGGAGACAAGCACATTACATGCCCCACACCAGAAATATTATGTAATGAACCAGATTTTTATTGACTATTGACTTTTCACAACTTTTAGAGGCCAGTGGTAACAACAACTAGCATGCTAAGAGCACACCAGCCCTATTTCCTGGTTCACGGATGATAAAAATGCGTAATAATTTCAAACAGACAGCACACATCGGTCCCTTTTACATCTGTGGTGTCATATATTGTGTAACCTGTACATTTAAAAATAGTTTTGTTGGAGTAAAGTAGTGTTAAAGTGATTTGTACGTACCCTCCAGAAGTACTTGCGGTTGGCGTGTTTTGGGACAGTGTCTTTGGTGTAGATTTCCCCCTGCAGAGGTCCGAAGCGCGTGCCCATCGGAATGTACTCTTTACTGAACACACCTGTCACCTGCAACACATGAGAAAGAGAATATACAAATATATTAAAAGATTATTCTGTTAACTGACAAACGTGAAGTCGTAATGAATTTTGTAATTACGCAACTGATTTATATAGCATTATTTATTCTATATTACTATTGTAGCCACAGCTGCCCTGGGGTAGGCTGACAGAAGTGAGCCTTCCGATCTCCACCTTCGGCCCTTCACATACCACATTCACACTGGACTTGCCAAAGATCACAGGAGTAGTATGCATCAGAGCCGCTTCTGTTAACATCCAAGTACTAACCAGGCCCACACCCTGCTTCTGTAATCTGATGAAATGCGAATGAAAGAAAATTAAAGATTTCTTATCGCAATAATCGCAATAGTAGTAGGAGTAACAGTAGTAGTAGTAGCAGTATTTGTAGTAGTTGCAGTAGTAGTATTGGTATAGTAGTAGTAGTAGTTGTACAGTGTTAATTATACTTTTAGATCTGGTTTAACCCTAGATTAGATCTGGAATAGACCTGTTATAGACCTGGTTTAGATCTGGCAGTACTAAAGTAGAGAGCCAGATCTTCTCTTTGATGGTCTTTGGTGTGAGAAGTTTGAGAGTCACTGGCATTGTCCATTGTCTGACTTATTTCCTGGCGAGACCATCACGGTATCTCGGGAATATCTATTTCAAGTGGGTATGAAGGAGCTGAGCCTAATCTGATGTTTACGTTTTGCTCCTTGGCTTCGTTCCACTGACCCAGACGCACACAGGAGGCAGGTGACCCAGTTTCTAAAAACAGCTAATCCAAACCAATACTTTCTCTGCCCTGCTCCACTAACTCCTGACCTCCCATTGCTATCACTCACCTGAGCAGGTAAAGAGACAATAAAGGAAATAGAGATGATTGCTTGTTAAATTGAGTGCGATTGTAAAGATATAAGATCTGATAAGATAAGAGAACGTTTTAAATTTCAGTGTTGCAATGCCATATACAACAATAGCAGTCAAAAAATGTATGAACTAAATCCTATCAATATCCATGGTTTTCAGAATGATGAAAATGTAGGACAATTGCGTACCTATTAACAATTGAAATCAAAATATTATACTTATGAATGGCAAAAAGGCTTCAAAATGTGGCACATAACAGGAAGCTAAAACCTATGTACTATGTAAAATACTTTAAATAAAATTAAGCCTTTTAAGTAAGGATGGTACAAGATCTCGTGCCACAAGATCTCGTACACATGAGAAAAATGATCTTCTGAGATTTTTTTCTCAACCGTTTACGTTTGAATTGGACTAAAATGGGTGACGTGTTGGTGAGTTACATTTCTTCTTACATCTCAGCAGTACTAGAATGGAAACAAAAAATTGAAACCAAGTAAATAAAAAAAATTGTGAGTCCAAAATTGGAAACTGAATCATGAAATCTATATATTAGGTTTCTTTCTCGTGTATCCAGTCTCCTATCTCATCTCGTCTTGTCCCATCCCTACTATATGCTACAAATAAATTAAACAGATTGTCATACCCAAACATTCGTATTTTACATCAAGATATTTCTTTACATGATATGGCTAAACAATTTTCATATGATTTACATGATTTACTTTGTCTTGCTGTAATATTTTTGTATTTGTAAGGTTTAATGAGTGACCTTGTGTATGAAATGCACAGTATAAACAAAACTGCCTTGCCTATAATAAGTAGACTAATAAGAAAACATCACAGTTTCTCTGCACAGCAAGTGATTAAAATTGCTTGTATAGCCATTCATGCCAATTATAAAACGTGTCAGATGGAATTAACTCTGACTGTACTGATTAGAATGCAGGTGTGAATAATTTGACAGTTTCAAAACAAATTCCAAGTGACATTTTTTTCAAGAGAGGTAGGAAATTCCACACCCTAGCCAGTAAGTACCTCTTTTTGTTTGAAAAAATGGAAACCAAATTGAAAAACTCCATTTAAATCAATTTAACTACACAATTATAATTCTGAAAAGAGTGAGACAGAGAAAGAAGAAACCGGATGACAAGACAGGATGTTTTGAAATGAAGTAATAGCTGATAATTGCATGTAATTGTGTGATCTTACGCCCTGAAGCACAAACACTGAAGGGTTTATTGTCCTTGAAATATTTGGTTGCTTCATATTTAAAATTACCACCTCCTCAGACTTCCCAGGAACAGACAGCACAAAATTTCCTGCTTTGGTTTAACGTCTGCAAGCGTAGTCATGTCAATAATATGTCAGTCATTACAAGTTTACCTGTGCGTAAATGTAGAGGATATGAGGCTATAGTGAGTCAAATATGTGGAAACGCTATACACTAAAAATTACACTGTTTCTTATGGAGGAAGTAAACGTACAAGACGGGATTCAATTAATATCACAACAATAATTATTATATTAGTTACTACTCCTCCTACTCCTCTTACTCCTAATACTATTACTACTATTGCTACTTTTGATATAATAGTTTACACCCTTTTGCTTATTGAAGAGATATTTTTTTGTGACAGTTACTCCTACTCCTCCTACTCCCAATACTATTACTACTACTACTACAACTGTATTACTTTGCGTACAAATTGTACTCTACAGATAAACTTGCCTTCACACAATTCAAACAATTCAGCATAGATTTTAAGCTTTAAGTGCAGATTTCTGTTGATTTGTAGTGAGTCATTGGTCGAGTCACTAACCGGAATGATCAGCTTCAACATTTGTGAATTTACCTTTTGAAACGTTTTACAATTTACAATTAAATGCAATCAATCTGGTGCTGGCCACCTGTCTGACAGTATGACATCATCACATTCTCGAACTTGAAAACCACCAATGCCTATGTGTTTAGCCCGTAGCGTACCCCCTGAATGGGAACAATAGACTGAAAGTGAATGTGGTTTATGCTGGAGTGAGTGTGAACGGGGCTTGTATCAGAGGTTAATTACTGAAGCTACATGTAACTGAAGCTTTGTGCAGGGAAGCCGCTGGGGCCCGAGATTTTGTGTTTCACCGATGGAGCGTAATTAATAAATGTTGCTTAAACGCTTTATTATAGGGTTTATAGGTGGGAGGGGGGGTGAAAGGGTAGATGGGGTAAAGGGGAGAGGGGCAGTAAAGAAAAGCTAAATAAATGAGCGTTTCTTAGTGGGGTAATGATGCAATGCATGTCAATGGGCCCACTGCACATGCTAGTCAAAATTAATCAAACTGAAGATGTATGTAAAAGTATGTAGTAGTAGTACTAGTAGTAGTAGTAGTAAGCCTTGTACTTTGTACCAGTACAATGAAGTACCTTACACTTCTGAATGTTCACATATTCTCCCTGAAAATGTAAGTTAAAGACTAGGTAGTCGCTGTTGTTGTTGCAAACCATATAGAAAGTATGAGTAGGAGTTTTCTTAACTGATGTAATGTAAATTTTCCTCACACCTCACAAATTTTACTCATTTCAAATGCACCTGCTTTTCATAAGTGAGTAACTGTAGTAGCAATAGGGGTAATGATAGTAATGGTAGTATCAGTTTTAGAAATAGTTGTAACAGCAGCTCTAACAACAAGAAATGAAAAAAAAAGAAGAAAAGGAAAAGATTAGGCTGATATACCATCAGTAATCATTGCTGAGGAATTACTACTACTTGTAGTAGTAGTAGTAGTAGTAGTAAGATTCTGTACTAATACTGTATCATTTGCTTGAAACCTGATGCCTCCTGTTTGCCTCTTTGACGAAAGTTAATCTGAGGGTACAAGCCTAAATCCCCCCACACACTCCTTGCACAATATGTCCCTCTTTGCTTACTGTATTAACTCCACCCCAATGCTCCTATCTCGTTCTGTGCCCCCCTCTTCTGGCACCTGTTACTAATGCCCCATCTGCCACGTGCCCCTGACGCCCTCACTGCCCCTTCTGCCCCGCTGTACCCTCGTCTTGCCATGCTTTGGATTGAAATGCCAAGAAAATGATGCTGAGGTAAAGTACAATTAAATTTTAATCCTCGAGTGTTATTTTGAATGGGTCAAATTTGCTGAGGTTGCTTTCACACTGGTTGAGTCCTGGTTTAGTCCTGGTCTAGTCCTGGTCTATTCCTGCTTTTGATGAAGTGTGTGCAATATAGCCAAATCTACCATAACCTTAAGTTTCTAAGTTTAGTTGTGATGTAGACCTGGTTTAGTCCTCTTCTGGTCCTGGTTTGGTCTTGGTCTAGTCCTGGTTTTGAGGTAGTGTATGATACATAGTCAGATCTACCTTAATCTTAAATTTGGGGACATGGGTATGCTAGAAAATTTTACAATTCTCTCTCATATTCAGTCAAAATATGAAATGGTAGTGGGCCTAATGCTGAACCTTGTGGCACACCTATATATCAATAATGAGAAACATATTGGTAATGCTACAGTAAATTCCCAGTTTTTGTTCACAGAGATTAACATTTTTAGATTGACTATTCTAAATTAATAGAAAGCAAAACGATGCAAATTGTGGCAAAGCAGATTACACACAAACACAGGGGTAATATATTGACTTGGACGTTCTCATGCCGTTATTTTTTAAGACGCAGTTTTTATTTTGCAATCATACGCACAAAATAGAGAAAGGAAAGCCAAGTTGCCGTAAGTGATGCAGAGAAAGAGGGACCACAACCAAACTACAAATAAGGAACTGCAGTTGAAAGTGTCGTCGTCAAAAGAAAAAGAGGAAGATTTAACTGAAGCGAACCGCAAAAGCATCAAACACGACGAACAAGTGAGTGTGACATAGTTCTTGGTTCCCCATTTTCAAAACTGCTCAATATGTGCACTAAACATCTTGCTAAATATTGTTGCTATAGAGCAGGACGATTACAGCACAACAAATAAAAAAATTATAAATTCAATCAGATCAATACGCATTGCTATTTTACATATATGCAAATTCTTGTTAATTAGGGTTCATAGAGATACTGTGAGCAAGATAGACCATTTGGAACTAATTACTGCTTTACACTACTGTACTACTTATTGCGTCGATCAGTTGTTTTCATTTCTTTTACTCTTAAGTCTTCACTCTTCTTGAAAACAGTCCCAACTGACTGTAAACTTGTTTTTGAAGCCAATATTTGTGATTGGCAATCTCACAATTTGATTTAAAATGTGATAATTGGTACACCTAGCTGTAGCAAATATCACAGTTATAGTTTTGACACATTTATCTAACAGGTATTCTCAAACAATGCATAATTTTTCATTTAAATCAGATTTGGTTTTATATGTTTTGGGTATTTATTTTATTCGCGTAGTTTGGTGACTATTCACTGCTGCATTTTAGGACTGGATTCCAGTATGACAATGACAAAGACAGCACTCAAATAACATATTTAAAAAACAACGCTAAAAATATTACGAGGAACTATACCTTGCGCAACCAACATACCGAGGCACAGTCAAAGAGACAAATGCCAAGAAATCAGCTGGAGAATGTAGCCCATGCTACTCACAGCTTACTCACAGTAGCAGAATGATGTTTGTTTTTCTAATGAATTCAAGTGGCTTAACATAGGCCCAAATTAAGAGTCAGGTGATGCAACTTATTGACATATGAACTAAGCCTGTTCGATTGCTGCTGTAATATATTTAATTGAGACTTAAATACGTTTTTGTCAAGAATTTATACAACTTACACTCAGCAATATTCAATAATAAATAATAATAGTTCTCTGTGTGTTACTACTACAACATTTCCTATTAATGAAGAAAGAAATAAAAAAGCACCATTTAGCAACTAGAACTGTTACATCATATTAACAAAGTTACCCAATTTCCAATGAATTTAGAAAGAGATATATAGGGTTTGTAAATTTTTTCAAGAACAAATATAATTTATCCAAAGAATTAGACAGGGAAAACAAATAATAATAGCAATTTTTGAATTCATTTAAAATCTGTTATTCCTCACAGTCAGCTATCACTGCCTTCATTGCATTACATATACAGGCTAGTTGTGCAGTAGTCAATGCAGCTTTGAACAGACTAAATTAAAACAGGGAAGCTGTTGTTGATATAGCCTATAATGACCTTAAGCTGGGAGTCTTCAGCTGTATAAATGTACTTAAATGGAGCAGGGCCAAAGCAGGTGAAATCCAGCTACAGTCAGCGATTCTTTTGTTTGAGTCACCCCCCCATGCAGATGGCCTAACAGAACGTTATGCAACAGGAATTTAAATATACACTTGAAAATAAAATGACTAAAACAACTGTGACTAATGATACCAGCACAAATTAAGATATGAATAGATTTGAATACAACTTCTTTGAGCCAATTTTAGCAAGACAAGCACAAAACAAGTATTCACAACTTTATAATATATGTATACAGTAGCCAAATGAGGTCTGAATTGAATAATTAAACATAAATGGAGTAAGCATAGCGGGGAAATTTAAGATATTTGGGGTTAATATGATTTTGGTGTGTACATTTTAAGCCAGAGTAAGGAAAAGAATCTGTAGAAGTATTGAGATTCAATTAACTATTTCATGCACAATGCGAGGAGGGAATGTAATTTTTCATTTCAAAGATCTGCATATGTTTACAACTTTAGAAATGTTACAGAATTGAGATAATTTAGTATAATTCAATGTGTATCTCTTTCATTTTTTAAAATAAGGTTCATGAAAATCGATATATCTCAGTTTAAGCTGTAGTAATAAGGAATAACGTAGCCATAAATGCACCAAAACAACAAATGCATTCTGTTTATCACTTTAAATCTGATTTGAACTCGTAAATGTCCTCTCTTACCTCATTGTCGTCTCCGTACTGAAAGGTGAGGTTTCGGGGTATGGACGTCATGGCTTTGGGGAGGCTGAAATTGGGCTCTGAATTTTGGTCTGGGACGATGTAGGTGCAGTTCAGAGCGAAATCCACCTCCCTCCAACTGCTGATGTCTGCGGCTCCGCTTTCCATTTTCATCTTTGTAGGAACGGTTCAGGAAACGATCAAGAAATATCTCGACTTTGGTTGGGTTTGTTTAGGGCTCTTGGTTTGGTTTGTAAATAATGCTTTGGTAGAGACACACTTTGGTTGAGAAGGGTTAGGTCCCTCGAGTCTTAGGTTTTTGCTGATTAAAGCTCAAAATCTGAAAACAAGAAAAAAGATAATGCACTTTGAGGTTAAACTGTCTGCTATGTTTCTATGGTGTTTCTAACAGTTTAATAATAAGAGTCCTCTCTGGTTTTCACTTTCAGTTTATCCAATGCACTCGCCTTGATCTGTATGTGCTTTAACTAACAATTCAATAATATATATTTTTTTGTAGTAGTAGTCATCAGAATTGACATCAGATGAACATGCTTGTCTGGTCTATTTGAATTTTACATCATATACAAAGTATATTCAGATTTACAAAAAAGTCTACTAAAACAGAAACCGATTTTCAGGTTTAAAATGTAATGTTCAAATTTTATGTCTAAATGTGTTTTAAAATTTCATAGAAAATGTTTTAAAAGTTTATCAGTCAAAACATTTAGGAAAAATAACTGCCACAAATTTGAATGCACTTCAGAACCACTTATTTTAAAACATTACAGTTATATTAAATCAAGAGACTTTCTTTTAAAACTCCTTGCAGTCTTTACCACTGCTACAGATCGTTATCACTTTTTGGCTTCCTTCCTCATTCACTGGAAATCACAGTTCTTAGGAAGATTATTCAGTTGTTTGTTGACATTTTAAAATGAAACTCTAGGAACTAAACAAACCAAATACAAAATAACACTTACATCACATTCATTCAGCTGTAGGCTCCATATTTGGCTGTTTCTTGCTTTTGTCTTCCTCCAACTTCTTTTACAAAATTACATCCAGTTTTCTCTCGTTTTGTCGCCTCCTATGCTCCCACTTTGCTTATGAGCTACCTCGACTCCACGCGTGGCGTTTATAGCTTACCGGCCCGACTAATCGCGAGCCTCGTTTCCAATCACGTGACCCTAACCTATCTGGCTAGCGCTTCTTCTAGGACAACAACAGAGTGATGCGCACTTGGGACCTAATATCTGTTTTGTGTGTGGTTAAATGAATGAATAAAGGGTGGGCAGATGGTCGGCCTGATGCCACATAGAAAACACACACTCCAGTACACTTTTGCTTGGATGGGCACTTAACGAGCAATCTGGTGCCTCTATCTTCTTGACCTACATCTTTACCCATAAGACCCCTTAAGACCCCCCTAACCCTCCCGCATCCACATAATACATAACGCTGGTGTTTTTTTTGTTTTTTTTCTTTCTTGGAGATACGTACACTACCAGTCAAAAGTTTGGACACATACTGTTCCTTATTTTTACTATTTTCTACAATTTAAAAAAGACATCAAATATATGAAGCAAGACATGTGGAATTATGTAGCAAAAAGTTCAATAACTCAACAATTTTTTATATTTTAGATTCAAATCCTCAAAGTATCCACCCTTTGCTCTGATGACAGCACTAGAAACTTTTGGCCTTTTCTCATGGAGCTTCATGTTGAAGTCTCCTGAAATGGTTTTCACTTTACAGCTGTGTTTTGTCAGGATCAAGAAATGACGAAAGTGCAAGGCAGGGTTCAAAGCAAAAAGTAAAGGCTGTTATAAAAATATAAAATCTAAAACAAGTTATTTTAAGTTTAATTTTGTTTGCTACATTCCATATATGTTCATTTATAGTTTTGAAGCTTACAGTGTAAATAATCATGGAAATAAAGATGAAAAATAAATGAAAAAGTGTGTCCAAAGTTTTGACTGGCAATGTACATACATCGGGAAATAGCTGGCTAGAGAGAGAAAAGGAGGGAGGGCGAGAGATGGAGGGAGAGAGGGATGTAGGTTAAGTCAAAAAGAAGGAAAAGCCCGCGACACCTGTCTGAGTATGAGCTAACCCATTTACTTTCGGTCACACCATCCACACAGTGCAGAGGTCAGTTCACCTGTGGCGCAAAAACAAGGTCAACAAACAGTGAGATCACTTGAGAGGTTGCAGTAATATGTAATAAGCAATGTGGGTCAAGTGTATTGCTCAGTGACACAATCAGTCATTTGATTGACAACGTTGCAACATTAATTTAACTAATATATGTGGATTTTTTTTTTTCACAAATTTGATATTATTGGCCACTTAAAACACTTTATAAGAAGAAACACACTGAGATGAATGGACATTGTTGTAAAATAAATAGAAATAAAACTAGTTGTGTACTTAAGTTAAGCAAAAAAAAAAAGTCCAACAGTCTTATATAGAGATTTTCCAGACACTCAAAGTTGCCATACAGTTTTAAACATTATTTATTCACTATATACTCTATGGTGTTAGACGTCAGTAGCCACAACTGCCCCGAGGTAGACTGATTTAAGCAAGGTTGACAATCTGTGCGAACGGCCTCTCTGACCACCATCAAGACAGAGAAGGAGAGAGCAGAGAGAGAGAGGGAGGGAGGGGGACAGAGAGGGAGATGGAGGGAGAGGGGAGAGAGAGGGAGAGGATTGGACTACTACACTACCGCTACTTTGTGTACTTCACAGACAGTCTAGTCTCAGGCTCATAGGGTTTAGAGTCTGGACAAAGACTTTGGGTGGACTGGTTTAAGAGGACGTGCCGTGAACCAGACACACTTTTGCATAATCACACATAGACTGGGACAACTGTAGAGACACGGCAGTCTAATATGGGCTATTTTAAAGGTCCTATATTACACTAAATGGATTCCTGTGAGCTGTAAGCCATGTTAGAATGTTGTTACCTCATCAAAAACATATCTGAAATGCTTTTTCAGTTTCATTCTGTTTCAATCTTTTACTTTTTCTACATCTCCAAAGCTAAAAATGCTGTGTTCAATCTTGTGATGTCATGACCTTTTAGCTTTTGTTCAGTAGAGCTTGGCAATTCCAGCGTTCAGATGATTCAAATGATTCTAGTGAAGGTGGCTGGAGTTTAAAAAACAGTGGAGCACTTTCTGTGAGAGTGTTTTCAGTTTGAGAGAAGAACCCTGCAGCCTAAATATGCAGAGTTTGTGTGTTAAACATGTGTGAATGAAACAAAACACAACTCCATGTATATTTTTGATAAGGAAACTACATTGTAACGTAGATATAGATATTATGCTATTTTTTAAGAATTTAGGGAGTTTGAAATTGTAGTGCAATGTCTAAGATTGGCATTGAGGACATTTAATACTATTTTACTAGCGCTTTCATGATACATAACAAGCTTCAACACTCAAATTAAATTATTTCCTAATGTTTACAGATGGACTAAGAACCACTACAGACAATCGCTACGTTCATGCACATCAAAATCTGAGTATTATCTGATTTCTGGACATTTAAGATGATTTAACTGACATGCAACCCACAAAATATCATGCAAGTAATCAGCGGGGCTGTGATCAGAAAGAGATAAGATGATTTTACTGTTTACATGTCATTTTAAATGTCTTAAAACTCAAAAATCTGAAAAAAAATCTGAACATAAACATCCATTATCCTCCAAGTAAAACAGAAGACTCCAAATGGATTTCAAACATAATGCACTGCCATCACAAGCACATTATAATAATAAGTATAAATCTGTATTTATAAAGCACTTTTAAAAACAATTTACAAAGTGCTATACAAGAAACAGAACAGAAACAGACAATGATGCAAACAATCCAATAAATTATAAAAATAAATAGAAAGAAATAGAATTTAAAAAAGGAATAAAGTCAAGCTAAAACCAGTTCAAGGAAATCCAACCGATAAAAATGAGTCTTAAGTGACTTAAAAGATGAAACTTATCGTGCGAGCCTTATCTCCTCAATGAAAGGCTCGATCACTTTGTTATCTCTGTCTCTTTTTCTTAAGAATGTGTTTATACTAGGGCTGAAAAATAGAAAATCGGATTCTAATCAAAACTAAAACCAGTATTGAAACTAGATACTGATCAGAGCAGGTATCAATACTAAAAAATTCCCATTCACAGGACAGAAATTAGCCTTTTTTGAATAGCTTTAGAATGATCTTGAGCTGTATCAGAACATGTATAAGAGCACACAGACTTGTATACACCCATGGAGCACTATGGAACCTACCTGGACCACTGAGGGATTACACAGATCAACACATGGTAATATAAAAGAAAGTACTATGATTTAATGTTGAAAATTACATTCTATTGTCTAAGGAAAGAGTGTTAAGTATCAAGTCTATTCTTTAGTACTTTAGTATTGTGGTACCATGGTGTGGCATACGAGCCTTTCTCTGTGTTACATTAGATTACAGAGTTAGATCAGTGCACTTTAAACAGGTGAGACTTTTCAATGGGACCAGGTCACGTCTTACACACAGTCCAGACTTTCTGATCTGTCTGCTCTCCTGACCCGGCGAGCTCTAAGCCTCTCTATCTCTCTACCTCTCTCTTTTTCTCTCGCTCACTCACCAAACATCTCCCTCTCTTCTCTCTCTTTCTCCTGTTTCCTTTTCTCCCTTGTCTCTCTCTTTCTCTCCTCATTCAATAACTTAATTTCTAATCTGATTGTCTTTCTGTATAGCTCAATCTCTCGTCTCTGTACCTTCAGTTTTGGTGAGCTGCAGAAGCCACTTGGATGAGCAGCGAAATGGCGTCACTCAAAAAACTTTTGTCCAGTTGACAGAATAAAATTTTCTTTTGCTATCTTTCCTCTCTTTTTAATTTATTGATCTTTCTACATTTGTCTTTCTCTCTGTGTCCCTCATTTGTCTCTCTTTCATTCTCTCTTGCAACCTCTCTCTCTTCTGTCTCTCTCTCTTGTTTGTTTACATCTGTATTTCTACATCTTTATTATTCATATTTCACCCTACAACCTCTCTCTCTGCACACTTTCTTCTCTGAATGGTCTGTGGACATGGCAAGGGTGGAAACTGTAACTGTTCTGTCCTTTTTAATAAGCAAATAAAAACGAACTACTAACTCACTAACTGATTGGGAAGATTAAACACAATGGAAACAT